GTAACCGACTCCAAATTAGTGATCGTCTAGCACTATGGGGATGTAACGTTGGGCTGAACTGTTTGTTGTGCGACGAGGAGGCGGAATCCATTGATCATATGTACTTCGCCTGCTCATACACCAACACTTCTGGACTACAATGTTGCAACACTCTACTGTACCGATCCCACCACTTAGGTCCTTCACGGATACACTACGATGGATGGGTTCGTATACTGCTAATCGAGAGATTAAGCTCATGATCCACATGTTGTTTCAAGGTGCAGTTTACCAAGTCTGGCGGGAATGAAACACCCGCTTGCACGACAACATATCACGACCGGCTCCAGTTATCACGAAGGAGATTCTTACCTCGACTCGTAGGAGGCTTGCTAGTCTTAAGAACGACTGGAGATACACACACCCTGAGGACTCGTTGTTATCTATATGGTTCCGTTATTTTGAGATATTCTAATTTAATTGACTTGTTGTTTACATTGCCTGGTTGTAATATCCTGCTATTTTTATTTTCTGTCTGGTTCATTCACCAGAGCTAGACACGATTGTAACTATATATTGCATATATGAAATTTACAATTACCAAAAAAAAGATATAATCCCGAGGTTTTCAAGAAGAGTTAAAAAGAAAACACATCGAATTTACCGTTCTTCCCCATGATATATTTCGGTTATTGGTGCGATTGCGGTTAACCACAAAAAGCCAGAAGAGAAAGGAGTGCTTAGTAATACAAAGTGTGAACCAAACAACCTTGTGTCATAAGGTACATATAGAGCTTCTGACTACTCGTACCATTTCATATATCCTCTTAACAATCCATTGGTGGCATTTGATAATCGAGCATCGTTTGTCTTTCCATTGAACCCTCTCGGTCCATATGACATTTTTCTCATCATATTACTGATGTTACAAAGGTCCAAAAGGCCTAATAATTTCACCAAAAGTATTCATTCGTGATTATTGTGAACGAATTTCCCCGCCGATTGTGATGATCTTCACAGCGTTCCGGAGATAATTTGCGTGCGGTTGAGAGGAAGACCGAGTCGTTACAATACTTTTTTTCTTGCCTAGCCAGTTCTCGATTGAAAAACATCATCTTGTTAGATATTGCTATGAAAATTACCGATAAGATCTTCACCGTTCTTCTTTTACGTATTTGGCAAAAAGAGATCTGCTCTCATCGCTTATCTTCGCTCCGAAAAAGGGTGATTAATTTTCTTCTCGAGTCTTAATCACACTCAAAGAGAAATTAATCACAAACCTCCATCTAATTGGAAAGACAAATGGAACAGCTACACATACATGAAGTGTGGATATCAAACAAGCACGTCACTCCCTTGATCTCACCACGTCTATATATACACATACACTCTATTGGCTTCTTTCACAGCAAGTTGTATCCTCCAAGAACTTTGGAAAAATCTGTATCATTGGGCCTTCGACTTTTACTATATAATATTTTTGTATATTTCCTCATGGAGGGTCGGTCTCAAGGGTTGAGAAAAGGAACATGGACTACCGAAGAAGATAATCTCTTGAGGAAGTGCGTTGAGAAGTATGGAGAAGGCAAATGGCACCAAGTCCCTTCAAGAGCTGGTGATCCACTTAATTAATTTTTTCAAAAAAAAACATCTCTAATGTTTATTTATGACTTGATTTATGAATTCGTTAATCCTTTTTCGGCATTCGACACGAGGTTATAAATAAAGATTACAAATTATTAGGGTTCAATAGAATGAAACATCTTAATTGTCATTTCTTTTAAATAAAGGTGGTGAACAAGAGATGGCTCACCCGCGTTTTCTTCTCTCTCCTTTTTTGGCGTAAAGTCAATAAATTCAAAGCGACAATTCAACGTAGCAAACATACATGCGATCATATACGCACAAGTTACATACATACGTGCATGCATGCATACATACATATATACACACATACATACATACCGACCGAAGCCAACTATTAACTGATCGTGATGTCGTGTTTTTCCATGTCTTTGCTTCGTAGGGTTGAATCGATGCAGGAAGAGTTGTAGGCTGAGATGGTTGAACTATCTGAAGCCAAACATCAAGAGAGGAAGACTTAGCCCTGAGGAGGTTGATCTTGTCATTAGGCTCCATAAGCTTCTGGGAAACAGGTAATTGCGCCATAGATTCCCCTAATCAATTACACAGTTTTAAGGCTTGTAATGATTAAAAAGGGTCATTAAATTTCATAGGGTCCATTTACAATTCTTCATTTTTCCCAAAAGATGCTGTCAATAAATCACGACGGCTCTCGTCTTGGCTTCTTTGCTTTTGGTCCCCGTTTTCTATGTTCTCAATAACTGTTGTCCCTTTTTTCCACCAAAAAGTATCAACCCACTTGTTCTGTACGTACCATTCACTGTAACCAAATATGGAATACAATACTGTCACGACGCCAATGGATACAATTAGCAGTATAGAACAAATCATTAATAAAAGAAAAATTCTAAGGTGATCATCATGCCCGTCGTACATCTATATGTTTAATGTTAGTTCTATGTGGACATCGTCGTGTATGCACAGGTGGTCGTTGATCGCAGGCCGACTGCCCGGTCGGACCGCCAACGATATCAAGAACTATTGGAACACCCATATCAGCAAGAAACAAGAACTATCATCTAATTGTAAGATCAGATCGACGTGGGAGAAAAAGACTGCCGACGTTAGTTTTCCGACCGAACCTGTTCGGAAAATCGAAGTTACAAAGCCTCGACCTCGATCCTTCTCCGACCACAGCCGACGCCATCTCCTCGACGCCCAGCCCAAAACCCCTTTAACCGGAAGCAACGACAAAGATCATGATGATGACAATAATATTCATGATGGTAAGAAAGCATGTGAGAAAGATGAGAATGGGATTATGAACACTATAGTGAATGATGGGAAGGAGAAAATGTGGTGGGAGGATTTGCTGGAAGAAAGCGAAGGGGCGGAGGAGAATCCATGGATGAACTCGGACGCGACGTTCCACGTTGACCTTTGGAATCTGTTGAACGCATAAATATATAAGTTTATTAATTTATTATCTATGTTAAGTTTTCGTTTTCTTTTTTTTTTTTTAGATTTAGGGTTTTGAATTCATCTCCAGCATCATTGGTGAGGAACCTCTCAACATATAATAACCTTGTTTTCTGAATAAAACCTAAATATTTAATAATTAATATGCCGAATTACTAATAAATTATCGACTATAAAACTTTCCATATTATCGAATTACAAATAAATTTTTTTTTCTAAGTTTTAATATATATAATTACAGGCTAACACTCCGGCAACTTTATTCTAGAAAGCGATGCATCCATTATATTAATCTCAAGTTTGAGCATTGATGCATATGTTAGAAGCAATTTGGATTAGGGAATTTATACGAATACATATCGCATATACATATACATATGCCTCATGTACGTATATACATACAATTCTTTTGAAAAAAAAATGTAAACAAATTATACCGAAGATACCAGAATAAACCAAAACAGGCTAGTCTAAATCGGGTCCGCACTCTAATAAAAACATTACTAGTCGTATATTATCAAAACATTCATTCATTTGTTGGCTTGCTGCACGTTACCGACTCCCAACTAGGGATCGTCTAGCACTATGGGGACGTAATCTTGGGCTGAACTGTTTGTTGTGGGAGGCGGAATCCATTGATCATATGTACACCAACACAATCTGGGCTACAATATTGCAACACTCTACTGTACCGATCCCACCACTTAGACCCTTCACGGATACACTACGATGGATAGGTTCGTGTACTGCTAATCGAGAGATGAAGCTCATGATCCACCTGTTGTTTCAAGGTGCAGTTTACCAAGTCTGGCGGGAACGAAACGCCCGCTTTCACGACAACACATCACGACCGGCTCCAGTTATCACGAAGGAGATTCTTACCTCGACTCGTAGGAGGCTTGGTAGTCTTAAGAACGACTGGAGATACACACACCCTGAGGACTCGTTGCTATCTATATGGTTCCGTTATTTTGAGATATTCTGATTTAATTGACTTGTTGTTTACTTTGCCTGGTTGTAATATCCTGCTGCTTTTATTTTCTGTCTGGTTCATTCACCAGAGCTAGACACGATTGTAACTATATATTGCATATATGAGATTTACAATTACAAAAAAAAAAAAAAAGATATAATCCCAAGGTTTTCAAGAAGAGTTACAAAGAAAACACATCGAATTTACCCTTCTTCCCCATGATATAATTCGGTTATTGGTGCGATTGCGGTTAACAACAAAAAGCCAGAAGAGAAAGGAGTGCTTAGTAACACAAAGTGTGAACCAAACAACCTTGTGTCATAAGGTACATATAGAGCTTCTGACTACTCGTACCATTTCATATATCCTCTTAACAATCCATTGGTGGCATTTGATAACCGAGCATCGTTTGTCTTTCCATCGTTTGTCTTTCCATTGAGCCCTCTCGGTCCATATGACATTTTTCTCATCATATTACTGATGTTACAAAGGTCCAAAAGGCCTAATAATTTCACCAAAAGTATTCATTCGCGATTATTGTGAACGAATTTCCCCGCCGATTGTGATGATCTTCACAGCGTTCCGGAGATAATTTGTGTGCGGTTGAGAGGAAGACCGAGTCGTTACAATAGTTTTTTTCTTGCCTAGCCAGTTCTCGATTGGAAAAAATCATCTTGTTAGATATTGCTATGAAAATTACCGATAAGATCTTCACCGTTCTTCCTTTACGTATTTGGCAAAGAAATCTGCTCTCATCGCTTATCTTTGCTCCGAAATAGGGTGACTAATTTTCTTCTCGAGTCTTAATCACACTCAAAGAGAAATTAATCACAAACCTCCATCTAATTGGAAAGACAAATGCAACAGCTACAGATACATGAAGTGTGGATATCAAACATGCACGTCACTCCCTTGATCTCACCACGTCTATATATACACATACACTCTATTGGCTTCTTTCACAGCAAGTTGTATCCTCCAAGAACTTTGGAAAAATCTGTATCATTGGGCCTTCGACTTTTACTATATAATATTTTTGTATATTTCCTCATGGAGGGTCGGTCTCAAGGGTTGAGAAAAGGAACATGGACTACCGAAGAAGATAATCTCTTGAGGAAGTGCGTTGAGAAGTATGGAGAAGGCAAATGGCACCAAGTCCCTTCAAGAGCTGGTGATCCACTTAATTATTTTTAATTAAAAAAACCCATTAATGTTTATTTATGACTTGATTTATGAATTCGTTAATCCTTTTTCGGCATTCGACACGAGGTTATAAATAAAGATTACAAATTATTAGGGTTCAATAGAATGAAACATCTTAATTGTCATTTCTCTTAAATAAAGGTGGTGAACAAGAGATGGCTCATCCGCGTTTTCTTCTCTCTCTTTTTTTGGCGTAAAGTCAATAAATTCAAAGTGACAATTCAACGTAGCAAACATACATGCGATCATATACGCACAAGTTACATACATACATGCATGCATGCATGCATACATACATATATACACACATACATACATACCGACCGAAGCCAACTATTAACTGATCGTGATGTCGTGTTTTTCCATGTCTTTGCTTCGTAGGGTTGAATCGATGCAGGAAGAGTTGTAGGCTGAGATGGTTGAACTATCTGAAGCCAAACATCAAGAGAGGAAGACTTAGCCCTGAGGAGGTTGATCTTGTCATTAGGCTCCATAAGCTTCTGGGAAACAGGTAATTGCGCCATAGATTCCCCTAATCAATTACACAGTTTTAAGGCTTGTAATGATCGAAAAGGGTTATTAAATTTCATAGGGTCCATTTACAATTCTTCACTTTCCCCAAAAGATGCTGTCAATAAATCACGACGGCCCTCGCCTTGGCTTCTTTCGAGCTTTTGGTCCCCGTTTTCTACGTTCTCAATAACTGTTGTCCCTTTTTTCCACCAAAAAGTGTCAACCCACTTGTTCTGTACGTACCATTCACTGTAACCAAATATGGAATACAATACTGTCACGACGTCAATGGATACAATTAGCAGTAGAACAAATCATTAATGAAAGAAAAATTCTAAGGTGATTATCATGCCCGTCGTATGTCTACATGTTTAATGTTAGTTCTACGTCGACATGGTCGTGTATGCGCAGGTGGTCGTTGATCGCAGGCCGACTGCCCGGTCGGACCGCTAATGATATCAAGAACTATTGGAACACCCATATCAGCAAGAAGCAAGAACTATCATCTAATTGTAAGATCAAATCCACTTGGGAGAAAAAGACTGCCGATGTTAGTTTTCCGACCGAACCTGTTCGGAAAATCGAAGTTATAAAGCCTCGACCTCGATCCTTCTCCGACTACAGCCGACGCAATCTCCTCGGCGCCCAGACCAAAACCCCTTTAATAACGGGAAGCAACAACAAAGATAGTGATGATGATCATCATCATAATAACAATAATGGTAAGAACACATGTGAGAAAGATGAAAATGGGATCATCAACACTACAGTGAATGAAGGGAAGGAGATTATGTGGTGGGAAGATTTGTTGGAAGAAGGCGAAGGGGCGGAGGAGAATCCATGGATGAACCCGACAAAAGCTACTTGCGGTGATGACGACCTTTGGAATCTGTTGAATGCATAAACATATAAGTTTATTAATTTATTATCTAAGTTAAGTCTTCTTCTTCTTCTTCTTCTTCTTCTTCTTCTTCTTCTTCTTCTTCTTCTTCTTCTTCTTCTTCTTCTTCTTCTTCTTCTTC